CTCAGCAGGATATAATGACACAGAGTCCACCATTTTCTCCAGGGGAACTGATCTCTGCCACCTGAAGAGCAGTTGTAATTCTGAGATTGGCAACAGTGGTTCCCCAGGAGGAAATGGCTGGTTTGGAGGGTGGCATCTATGGCATTGTACCTGTCTGAGGTCCCACCCCTCTTCAAACCTTACCCTTTCCAGGCTCCACCCCTCAAATCTCAAGAATTTTCCCACCTGGAGTTGGCAACCCCATCTCCCTCCCAGCCAACCGTCAACCTACTGTTTTCTGGCCCCTAGATTCAGCTTTCCATCTCCTCCCCCTCCCTCCTAGAGAGCAGGTCTAATTCTGAGTGTTTTCCAGCCCCCACCTGGAGATTGTCAACAATGGTTCCCCATGAGGGAATGGCTGGCTTGGAGGGTGGAGTCTATGGCATTGTACCTGTCTGAGATCCCACCCCTCCTCAAACCTCACCCTCTCCAGTCTCCATCCCTCAAATCTCTAGAAATTTCCCACCTGGAGTTGGCAACCCTATCTCCCTCCCAGCCAACTGGATTCAGCTTTCTATCTCCTCCCCCTCCCTCCTAGAGAGCAGTTGTAAGTCTGAGTGATCTCCATCCCCCACCAGGGGATTGGCAACAACGGTTCTCCATGAGTGATTGGAGGGTGGAGTCTATGGCACTGTACCTGTCTGAGGTCCCAACCCTCCTCAAACTTCACCCTTTCCAGGCTCCACCCCTCAAATATCCAGGAATTTCCCACCTGGAGTTGGCAACCCTATCAGAACTGGGCCCAATGAGTTTTCTTTGAAAGGCCAAAACAGGTGTGGAAAGGGCCTTTTACTGACAGAACCTGGTTGCCTAGCAACAGGCACTGAGGAGAAAACACAGTTGCCACCTCTGTTTAGGGAAATACCTGGAGATTTGGGGGGTGGAGCCCGTGGAGGGCATAATTGGGGGGGATGGAAGGACTCAGCAGGGGCTAATGCCGTAGGGTCCACCTTCCAAAGCAGCCATTTTTTTCCAGGGGAACTGATCTCTGTCATCTGGAGATCAATTGTAACAGCAGGAGATCTCTAGGTCCCATCTGGAGACTGGCAAACCTATGGGAAAGTCAGCCACACAGCAGGGGGTTCAAGAGAACGGTTTCATGGTCGCTGGCACACCTCATTAACCAGCCAGCCATGGTTGAGCCAAAAAGGAGAGCGAGGCAGTTTAAATGTATTCTGACAGGAAAGTGGCCAAGATGGCAGTGGGCAGGGGAGGGGTTATGCTGAAACTCCTTTTTTTTAATGACAGAAGTTGGTTGCCTACCAAGAGCCACTGAGGGGACAGTCAGTCACAGTTAGGCCCACACAGGAGCCGAGAAGTGTCTTTCCAGGAGTCGCAGCTCATTTTCCCCAGGCCAAATCCACCCTAGCGCTGCTGCCGCTGCTGAAGGAAGGCAGGGGAGCCATTGAAAGGCACTGGGCAGCCTGCTCTGCGGTGCAGCCTACTGAGCTATCGCCCTGACAAAGTGCCAGCCTTGTGGTCAAGGGAGAAGGTCCGTGAGAGGCAGCGAAGGTGAGGGCTTCCCCTGCTTGCGGCTGCTCGCTAGGTCTGCCTCCTTCTCCCCCGTGGAGGGGTTGCCGCTCCCATGGCAGAGCGTCCATCC